GAGGTTAAAGGTAGGCTGAATGGGGAAGTGGCCACAGCTGGGGCCACACTTAATCAGGCCCTGATAAGAAGGGCTAAGGGAGGAGCTGGGTTAGAGTCTCACTCCAGCCCTGCTCACCTCCGCCTCCTCCCCTGAGCGTGCCACCGAGTCCTGCTTCTCCCCCCTCTCTCCCAGCGCTTGTGCCACGAAACAGCTGTTTCGCGCAGCAAGCAGTGGGAGGGAGGAGGAGGAGGAGGAACGCGGCGCGCTCGGGGAAGAGGTGGGGCCAGGGCGGGGATTTGGGGAGGGGTCCAAGTGGGGGCGGGGCGGGGCCAGGGGGAAAGTTGGTGCCTGTGGTGAGAAAGGCCTGGCTGCCTGGGAGCAGAGGGTACCTCAAGCAGAGCAGTGCTGGGGAAGAGCAAGAGGAGCTGGGGAGCACCAGCCTGGCAACTCCCCAGGCTGAGGCCTTGTCTAGGGTCTAAAGAGGTACCGGGGCTGATGAGGGGCAGCCCCGGGATAGGCAGAGGCCGCTGGTCCTACCCCCTGGCCAATGATGAGTGGCTACTACTGACTGCAGTTTGCCCCAGAGAAAGGGAGCTAGATGATGACTGGCAGTAGCCACTGAGGCAAGGTGGGTATAGAGAGTTGGGGTTCCCCTGGGAGGGGAGACCCAGAGTGTGGGGGTGTTGCTGGGGCAGAATCCCAAGGTAAAGAGCACTGGGGTCCAGGAGCACGGGGGCCTGAGCCAGGTGAGACACTGGCCAGCAGAGGGCGCTCCAAGAGCCGAAGTGAGTTAATTCCCAGACTGACCAGCAGGAGGTGCCGCACTGGTGAGTCAGCGCTCTGTTACACTGGCAAAATCACAAGAAGAAGAAACTATCAGGTGTATACGTTGATTTTCCGGCCTTCCTGGTTTGTTTGCAATACTGTTACTGATCACAAGAGCCTGACCGCAACTCTTGCCAAATCTGATGTTTGCCGGACAGCCCCAGCACCTGGAATCATGTGAATAGGTGAGACTCTCAGCTTTCATGTTTTTACACCAAGTACATTTCGAGTGCTCCTGGTTGCAGAGAAAAGTTGGAAACATGACCCGCGTGTGCCCTAAATGCTCAGAAGCCAAAGAAAAGGAACCCAAATGTCTTATTTTCCCCAATCTCATGACTTTTAAAGCACCCTGGTGATTTTTTTAAGGCTTGAAGTTGGCAATGCTGGCCGTGGCACATAACAGCTCTGCACCCTCAGCCCAGAGCATTTCTGTGGCTCCCAACCATCCTTTGCTAAAAACCCCAGCTCGCCAAGGACTGTGTGCTGCACTGAAACTACTGAGGCTGGAGTGGAAACCTCCAGGTAGCTCTGGTAGCACTCACACCCTGTGAGGTAGATTCCTTCCTCCCGGCCCTAGGGAGACTCTTCAGCAAATTTCCTGACTGTATGCCAGGTAGGGAGGGCCTTGCAAGAAGCGCTGTGCACTGAGGTGAATTTCACCCAGTAGGAACAACTCTGTTACATCCTTTCACCACACCAGAAATGCAGCTGCCAACATGCGCCTCAGCTGTGCGGCGTGTTCTGAAGCCCCAGCCCGGCACATCCTCAGGTTAACAAAAGGAACTGTAGCAAACCTGCCGCCCGCTCCAACTCCAGAACAAGAGCCAACCGAGGAGGTGGAGACAGAGAACGGGAATGGATGCAACGTTACAGCACACGCTGAACAAATCAAAAGTGAACGTCTTTCTAAGAGACACGCTCTCACGTCCCCAGAAGTGATGGGCTCGATGCAGGAACAGGCACCCGGTGGAATTCTCTGGCCTGCGCTATGCAGGAGGCCAGACGCGGTGATCGTAACAGTCCCTTCTGGCTTTAAGATCTATTCATCTTGTCAAACCGTGGAGCAGCACAACCCAATATGACCCAATGATCCCTGGTGGAACTGCCTTGACGCTTTCCATGGGAGATTGTTAATTTCAGGGGCAAGTAATTAACAAGCCAGCACAGCTCTCCTGCTTTGTGCCATCTCCCTTCTGTTTGTTTCAAAGATAAAATCCCTTATTTAAAAAAAAGGCTCAATTTTATCCTTTTGGGGTCTCTATTCGTGGGTTAGTAATAACAGAAGCAAACACACACACACACAGAACCACTGTGAAACCAGGAGATCAGCAAGGAAAAGAAAAAGTGGAAACACAGAAGCATGGAATGGTCAGTAACAACAATGAACCAACCCCCGAGCCTGCAAACAGCACGCGGATTGCTTTGCCCATGCAGAGCCCCATTCAAGTCCAAGTGCCATCCCTCTGCCTGCTACACGTTGCAGGATCGGGGCCTCACACCCGGCTTCCATTGCCTCCCAGGAGCATTCCACCTGAAGAGGAAACGTCACAATTTGGCACAAGAGTAATGATTTATGTGTAGAATGACGTTCCTCCCCCAGGATCCCAAAGTGCTTCCCAATGAGGCCCAGGCGGGTTAAACAATCAAAGCGTGCACGACGCAGGCTCCAGTTAAAATCACTCTGATTCCCGCACCTAGACAATGTGCTTCTGGATCTTTGTCTGGCTGTGATTAGACAGGCAGGCAGACAGACCATTGCTGCTAGGACCTAAGCCCTCTTTCATCGCCAGTCACTGTCAGGCGGGCACAGATCAGCATCGCTGACCCAGGACGGCCCATCCCTGGAGGTTATTCCAGGGGCATCCGGCAAGCAGGACCTTAGGGCTACTTACACACGCCCCCGATGACACCGGCGATCCTGCACAGCCACTTGTACCACCAGGTCATGCCATCGTCCGCCGAAGAGGCAGCTGGCGCAGGGGCTGCTTGTTGGAACTGATCCTCCTGGGAGCTCATTGTGTGCCCCCGCCGCAGGGGTTAGGGGCAGCCCCCCCTTTGCACCTGAGCCACAGCAGAAGGGGACACCCCGCCCACACCCCCAGAAGAGTCAGTGACAGCTCCTCACACCCGTCCTGCGGCAGGGCCCCTCACCACCGCCCCAGGGACCCGGCCTGGCCCCTGACAGCTGCTCTGTTCTTGCTGACAATGGAGAGCCTCTGTCCCCAGCAGCAGCACAGCTTCCACGTCTCCCTGCGTGTTGCATGATGGGCCCCCTCCCTTCCGAGAGGGAGGACTCTGATGTCACCCTCTCATTAAATAGCTAAGTGGGCAGGGCCCTGCCTGGCCACAGTGAGGAGCAGCAGCTGGCTAAGGAGTGACTGAGCCTGTGGCCATAGGTTGTGTGTGAGTGTGACCTCTGCGAGTGCACGGGCCTAGGCATGCTTGTGAGGCTGCCTGAGTGTGCAAATGCAAGCGCCTGGGCGTAGACGTGCTGCTATCTTGCCTTTATAAAGCATCTTTCAAACACAGAGGGAGCGTTTGTAAGAGCCAGTCTGGGAACACAAGCGTTCCTTGATGTCCTGCGTTCAGACCCCCAACCCCACCCCACTCCCACGAGCTCCTACGTCCGTGTGGGTTCAACAGCTCTGGTGAACTGTCTTCTCCGCTCGCGTTTTTCATTCTTGTGCGTGTCTCTGCACTTTGGCTTCACCAGAGAGGTGAACGGACTTGCCCAAGGTTACACAGATTACGTCAGTGGTAAAGCCAGGAGCAGAACCAGGAATCCTGACTCCTAGTGCCCTGGGCTGCGCTAACTACTAGGACATGCTGCCAAGGTGGCCAGTGTGCGAGGGCAGGATCCAGGTCTGTCAGACCGAGTGGCTAGGTAGGAGACATGACGGAGGGTGCGTCTCTATATGCAAACCAAAGAATGTACTGAGCTGAGGCTGATTAGAAGGGATTGGTTTGGGAGGGACTCAGGGAAACTCCCACTCCACCCTTCACCCCACCTCTCTTCTCTCTCTCTCAGTGTTCAGTGATTTCCAGAGCTGCCAAATCTCAATCATTTGGAAAGAGAGTCCCTCGGATAGGATTTAATTTTATGGGGCAGTTCTTAAAGTGTTTCCCCCTCTTGTGAAGAGGGATTTTGCTGTGTATTTCAACGAGGCATTCCAAATCGCTCGTCTTCCTGGAAATCTTCCCATTCCCATTAGAGACAGGAGGAAAGCACCTTTTAAATGTGGCGTTGACAACTCTCATGATTTTATCATGCGTCTCGCAATATTTGGAGTTTTTCTTAAGGCCCCTGCTCCTGGAATCATGGGAGTGCATTAGAATCTCAGCTTTGGTTTTTTACAAAAGTTTCTGGCTCTCGTGGTGGCAGAGAAAAGTTTGAAAACATGAACCAAGTGCGACCTAAAGGTTTAGACACCAGAAAACAATGAATAAGAACCCAACATCTTTTTTTTTTTAAAAAGCTCATGATTTTTAAGCCAACATCTTGATATTTGAGGCCTGACTCATGATTTTGGAAAAAGTACAGAAAAGGGCAACAAAAATGATCAGGGGTATGAAACAGCTTCCATATGAGGAGAGGTTAATAAGACTGGGACTTTTCAGTTTGGAAAAGAGATGACTAAGGGGGGAAATGACAGAGGTCTATAAAATCATGGCTGGTGTGAAGAAAGTAAATAAGGGAGTGTTATTTACTCCTTCTCACAACACAAGAACTAGGGGTCACCGAACGACATTAACAGGCAGCAGGTTTAAAGCAAACAAAAGGAAGTATTTCTTCACACAACACACAGTCACCCTGTGGAACTCTCGGCCAGAGTATATTGTGGCACCGAGTTCATCATTAGCAGGACGAACATCACCGGCTCATTCACCTGCACGTCCACCAATGTTATATATGCCATCATATGCCAGCAATGCCCCTCTGTGATGTACATTGGCCAAACTGGACAGTCACTACGCAAGAGGATAAATGGACACAAGTCAGATATCAGGAATGGCAATATACAAAAACCTGTAGGGGAACACTTCAACCTCCCTGGCCACA